AATTAGAGTGTTATAACTTTAGGATGTTAAATATAATTCCCATTGGAAACACAAAGAGAATAGCTGCGGCATATACACAAAAAGAAATGAGATTTAAACATTTCTTTATTTTAAACAATCAACTGAACACAAAAGAAGACAGTAATGCAAGACATGAGAGACTAAAAAGCTATAAGACATTTGAAAATTAAACAGGAAAATGGCAAAAGTCAGTCCCTCCTTATTAGTAATTACTTTGAATGTAAACTAATTAAACTCTCCAATCAAAAGACAGAGATTAGCAGAATGAATAAAAACACATTGTTTACAACAGATTCATTTTAGATCCAAAGACAGAGGTAGATTGGAAGTGAAATGATGGAAAAACATACTCCATTAAATAATAACCAAAAGAGAGTGGGTGGCTATAACAGCAGACAAAATAGAGTTAAATAAAACATGTTATGCCCTGGCCAGTTTGGCTCAGCGGTTAGAGCGTCGACCTGCGGTCCGGAGAGACCCGGGTTCGGTTCCCGCTAAGGGCACGTACTTCGGTTGCAGTTTGTCCCCGGCCCTGGTTGGTCGTGCAGGTGGCAGCCATTCGATGTGTCCCTTCACGTCGATGTTTCTCTCTCTCTCTCCTTCCTCTCTCTCCCTCCCACTCTATCTGTACAAAAAAAAACAACAAAAAAACATGTTATGATAGACAAAAGGTGCATTATATATTAATCAAAGGTTCAATACAAGAAGATACAATAGCTATAAACCTTTACAAACCTAAACAGACCGTGCAAATATATGAAGCAAAAGCGGACAGAATTAAAGGTAGAAATAAACAGTTCTACAATAATTGTTGGAGACGTCAGTATTTCCCTTTCGATAAATAGAACAACCAGCCAAAAGGTAAGTGAGGAAATAGAGGAATTTATACAATAAACCACCTAGATCTAACAGACATGAAGAACAATAGCATACATATTCTTCTCAAGGGCACATGGATATTTTCCAGGATATACCATATGTAAGGTCACAAATTAAGACTCATTAGATATTTAAAAATAGATATCATACAAAGTACCTTCTCTGACCACAACGAGATGAAGTTAGAAATCAATCACAGGAGTAAAACAAAATTCACAAAATTGTGGAAGCTAAACGACACACTAAAATATATATATATATATATATATATATATATATATATATATATATATATATATAAATGGATCAAGGAAAGATCACATGGAAATGACAAAATATTTACAGCTAAGTGAAAATAAAAGCACAACATACCAAAACTTATGGGATTCAGCAACAGTAGTGCTAGAGGGAAATTTATAGCTATAACGTTTACGTTAAAAGTAAGAAAGATGACCAATCAACAGCCTAACTTTACAATTTAAGATATTATAAAGAGCCCTGGCCGGTTTGGCTCAGCGGTTGGAGCGTCGGCCTGCGGTACAGAGAGACCCGGGTTCGGTTCCCGCTAAGGGCACGTACTTCGGTTGCAGTTTGTCCCCGGCCCTGGTTGGTCGTGCGGGTGGCAGCCACTCGATGTGTCCCTTCACGTCGATGTTTCTCTCTCTCTCTCTCCCTTCCTCTCTCTCCCTCCCACTCTATCTGAACAAAAAATGGAAAAATGTCCTCGGGCGAGGATAAAAAAAATAAAATAAAATAAAAAAAAGATATTATAAAGAGAAGAACAAACTAAACCCAAAGCTAGCAGAACAAAGGAAAAATAAAGATTAGAGTAGAGATGAACAAAATAGAGAATAGAAAAACAACAGAGAAAAATCAGTGAAACCAAAAGTTGGTTCTTTGATTAGACTAATAAAATTGCCTTCAGCACAGTGACTATAGTTAATAATACTGTATGTATTACAGCAATACTGAATTAAAAAAAAAATTTTTTTATTGATTTTAGAGAGAGAGAGATAGAAACATGGATAAGAGAGAACATCAATCGGCTGCCTCTTGCACGCCCCCTACCGGGGATCAGCCTGAAACCTGGAATATGCCCTGGGTATGTGACCTGACCTGGAATGGAACCGGGACCTCTAAGTCCATCTGTCCACACTCAATCCACTGAGCCATACCGGCTGGGCTTTCCTTGCATTTTTAAATCTAGTTAAATCCTCTCATCATTCAAGTTTCTGCTCAGATTTTCTATTCCCAGGGAAGCCTTCTTGGAGCCCCAATATTATATGCTCTCATGGATTCCTGTACCTTTGCTTAATAGCATTTATCATCTTTTTATTTGTGGTTATTTCAGTAAACTATGCCCTCTCCCCTTTTGGAACATAAGCTCTGTCAGGCAGGGCAGGGACCAGGTCTTGGTCACTGCTGACCGATAGTATGCTCGTGAAAGTTTGGCAACTGGCTACAGGGTAAGGTGGGGGTGGGGAGGATTCTCCAATGTATAGCATTTGCTGATTTCCATGTTGTAAATCTCCCACCATGGCTGGTCTCAAGCCTCCAATGTGATTTAGACCAAAAGTCCTGAAATTTTAACAATGGGCTCTGGCTAGCTGGGGAAAGCTGGCTCACGCTCTTCCCTGCAGCCAATAATACCGTAACACCCCACACAAATTTACTGAATGGGTGAATGAATTAATGAAGTTAGTTCCATAGAATTAGCTTCCCTCTTGGTGCCTATCCATGGCACACTCTCCACCTGTCTACTACCGATGTAAAAAAATTTTTTTTTCTTTATTGATTTTAGAGAGAGAGGAAGGAAATAGAGATAGAAACATCGATGAGAGAGAACATCAATTGGCCGCCTCCTGCATGCACCCCACTGGGGATTGGACCCACAACCTGGGCATGTGCCCTGACTGGGAATCAAACTGGTGCATGGGTCGATGCTCAACCACTGAACCACACCGGCTGGGCTACAGATTTTTAAAAAAAGCAAAACTATGATGTTTTCATCAGGTAAAAGGTGTTCAGTGTAAAGGAATATTTTATGGGTACAACCCTCCCACTTTTTCTGGTGTTAAAACATCCTTTCTTGGGTGTAATTAGAGCTTTGCCTACTGTGAGTAGTGACTGATTAGTGACTCATGAGAGCAATGTAGTAGGTCTTGACAAGCCTTCATTTCTAATGAACTCAAGTAGAAGAGAATTTTCAGAGTATCTGAGTTGGTCTCAGATGGCAGGAAGTGTTGTTTGGGGAAACTTTTGTTGTGATCATGTGTTCATCCTGAGTTGTGATGTAAGGTGACCTTCTTAGAGTCAAGACATTTGAAAGCCACTGTGGTTGATAGCAATGCTTTTCTTTTTAATTAATGCCTTTTATTTTTAGAGCAATTTTAGATGCAAAGCAACATTGAATGGGAAGTACAGAGAGTTCTCATCAATTCCCTGCCACCACACAGGCACGCCTCTCCCATTATTAATATCTCACACCAGAGTGGCTCATTTGTTCCAATGGATGAACCTACATGGACACATTGTTATCACCCAAAGTCCATAATTTACATTAGAGCTCACTGTTGGTATTGCACATTGTCTGGGTTTAGACAAATGTATAATGACATGTATCTATTATAGTAGCATTGTCCAGAGTAGCTGCACCGCCCTGAACATCCTCTGTGTCTATCTGTTTAGCCCTCCCTCGCCTGGCCACCACGGATCTTTTTACTGTCTCTTTAGTTTTGCCTTTTCCAGAATTCACATAGTTGGAATCATACAGTACGTTGCTTTTTCAGATTGGCTTCTTTTAATAATATGCACTTAAGTCTTTCCATGGTTGATAGCCTTTAAAAATTTTTTTTTTTTTTAATTTTAGCACTGCATAATATTCCATTGTCTTCATGAGCACAGTTTATCAATCCATTCACTCACCCAAGGACAGCTTGGTCTTCCAAGGTCTGGTAATTATGAACAAAGCTGCTATAAATATCGCTGTGCAGGTTTTTGTGTGAACATAAGTTTTCACCTCCTTTGGATAAACACCAAGGAGTGTGACTGTTGGAGTGTAGGAGAAGAGAATGTTTACTTTTGCAAGAAATTTGGGAACTGTCTTCCAAAACGGCTGTGGCATTTTGCATCCGCGCCAGCAAGGAATGGGAGTCCCTGCGGCCAGTTTGGGATTTGGACTCTTCTGATAGAAGTGGAGTGGTACCTCATTGCTGTTTTAATTTGCATTTCCCTGTTGACGTGTGATGGAGCACCTTTCCATATGCTTATTTGCCCTCTCTATGCTTATTTCTCTATCTTGGGTCAGGTGTCTTTTCAGGTTTTTTGCCCATTTTTTAATAGGATAGCAACAGTTTTTTTTAAAAAAGTAATTTTGTTTTATTTTCCATGTTCTTACTTGCTAATATTTTTCAAGAGCAAGAACACTATATTGTACTTCATATTTTTGTCACATCCTTTGCCAGTTTGTAAAAAAAAAAAAAAAAAAATCTCAACACACCAAAGTCTAAATTTAAAAAACAGCTTTTCCAAGTCCCCGTCTTCCGTTCCCCAGGGATCTAAAGGGTTAAGACCACTCTGAACTCTGAGATACTAGGAGAGATTGAAAGAGAGAGAGAGAGCGAGAGAGCGAGAGAGCGAGAGAGCGAGAGAGAGAGAGAGAGAGAGAGAGAGAGAGAGAGAATTGTGTCTGGTTCAGAGGCCAGGGAACTTCCCCATCCGGCCCACCCCCACCCCCACCCCACCCCACCCCCAGTTCTCCAGGCTGTGAGTGCCCACTGCAATTATGGGACACCCAGGGCAAGGCACACTTGCCCTCACCTGACCCTGGAGAGTTGAGGTAAGGGTGGCGGAGGTAAAGCCAGACCCAGACCATTGGTGAAGATACATGTTCTGCCAAGAAACCCCTGTCTAGACTGCAGTCGGCTGAAGGAATTACATCAGAAATCAATTTCCACTTGCTGCCTGGAGCCCTGCACTAGGCACTTCCATCTGATGAGCTCATCAAACCTGCACCGCAGCCATGGGGAGTGGAGGAGCTTGGTGGGGCACCACTGAGCCCCATTTTACAGAAGGAGACAGCTCCAGAGCAGGGAGGTCACCTGAACAGGGTCATCCAGCCCGGATGCACAGTCAGGAATGGAATCTGGACCCTGGAGAGTCGTGTGCAGGTGACCGCGGAGCCCAGACTCCCTCCGGGAGACTTGACAATAACCCTGGGTGGTGATAACAATATTTTAGTGCTGACTCCTGTAGGGCACTCTGTACTCTAGGCAACCGGTGCTCCGTGTGCCTCAGAGAGGCTGTCTGCAGAAGTTGTGCCCATTTAACAGAGGAGAGAACTGACGCACAGAGACGACACTATCATGTTGGGAACAACAGCATAGCCGGCGTTAGGTCCCTGGCACTGCGGGGCTCGGAGCTGCTGGATCCTGAGCTTTGACACCTACTCTGTGCCAGGGCTTGTGCTAGGCACCGGGGTGACAGTTGTGACCCGAGCTGCTTACAGACGTGACAGTTTCAGAGAAAGGAAGTGAAGCAGGGGTGTGATTGGGAGGGTGTGATTGGGAGGGGCTGCGGAGCAGAGGGTGGGGAAGTCAGCCGGGGTGGTCGGGAGGGCGGCACTGAGGGAGGGATACTTGGCGGAGACCCCAGAGCCAAGGAAGAAGCAGCCTCGCCAAGTTCTTGGGGAAAGGTGTTCCAGGCCGAGGGAACAGCAAGCACAAAGACCCTGAGGCGGGAACAAGCTTGGTCCGCCTGGAGAACAGAAAAGAGGAAGTGAGAAGGAAGTGGGAGAGTGAGAGGAGGGGGAGGGGAAGCTTTGGGCTGGGGGAGGGTTTCCAGGCAGCCCAGGAGCCCAAGGAGGGAGGGATGTGGAGCTCGGTCTCCCAGGCAGGGTCCACCCGCAGCCCCTCCTCCTGGCACTAGAGAAGCCCCCCCCTTCTTTCAGGCCAGGTCTGCACTCCCCACTTCCCCTGCAGCCTTTGCAGTCCAACCCCAGCTCCCCCATTGCTACCAGGGCTGGTGGGTTCCTTCCAGCAGGAAGATGGGGCTCTCTCTACAGTCCCCATCCGTCGGCATTTATCCATTCATTCCTGTAGTTTATCCACTGATCCGTCAAGTGTTGGTCTACCTCGGGGATTTTGCCTTTGCGGTTCCCTCTGGAACACTGTCTTTTATCCCTCGGGGCTCTGCTCCCAACGTAGGTTTCTCCCAGACGCCTTTCCTGACCATCCCCAGCTAATTCGACCGTCACCCTGTTGGCAGCGGGTAGGTCAGTGCTCCAGGGGTCTCGTTCTCTGAGAGATAGGAACCTGTTGGGCGTTCATTTCCCCTTCTTGTTTTTCTTTGGGAGCTATCCTCCGCTTCTTAGTCGTGATCTGGTTTGGATGGGGCCAACCCTGTTTTCCTGAAACCAACAGGTCATCCAAGTAGCGCTGCAGGACTCGCTGGAGCTCCCGGGAGCGGAATCTTCGTCCTGCCCCGGTTACTAGTCCGGTGGCTGAGGCTGGGACTGCTGGGTAGGAGAGATCCTGCCTGCAAACGGACTCCACACCGAGGGAAGCGGAGCCAGGGAGAGGGGCACAGTCCTCAGCTCCACACCGAGGGAAGCGGAGCCAGGGAGAGGGGCACAGTCCTCAGCTCCACACCGAGGGAAGCGGAGCCAGGGAGAGGGGCACAGTCCTCAGCTCCACACCGAGGGAAGCGGAGCCAGGGAGAGGGGCACAGACCTCAGCTCCACACTGAGGGAAGCGGAGCCAGGGAGAGGGGCACAGACCTCAGCTCCACACCGAGGGAAGCGGAGCCAGGGAGAGGGGCACAGTCCTCAGCTCCACACCGAGGGAAGCGGAGCCAGGGAGAGGGGCACAGTCCTCAGCTCCACACCGAGGGAAGCGGAGCCAGGGAGAGGGGCACAGTCCTCAGCTCCACACCGAGGGAAGCGGAGCCAGGGAGAGGGGCACAGTCCTCAGCTCCACACTGAGGGAGGCGGAGCCAGGGAGAGGGGCACAGTCCTCAGCTCCACACTGAGGGAAGCGGAGCCAGGGAGAGGGGCACAGTCCTCAGCTCCACACTGAGGGAAGCGGAGCCAGGGAGAGGGGCACAGTCCTCAGCGTGTAGAACACCTGCTTCAGCCATACCTGAAATCCAAACTCCACCTGAACACGACCATTGTAAGAACCAGTAAATCCCCTTGTGCTGAAGATCCGTTTGGGTTTCAGTCACTTACGACAGGCCTGGCTGATCATAAGGCCTCCAAGACAGGCGGGCAGTCCAGCTTAGGGACTTTCCCTGGAGGGGTGTGGGCCCCGACTTCCTCACTCAGAGGCCGCTCCGCCTGCCCCACCGCCTCCCGCCCCAGAAGCTCCTGTTCTGAGGCCTGAGTGGGGTTCCTTCCAGCTGAGGCAGAAAAGCAGAACAGTGCCAGGCTGGCAGGGGAGGACTTCAGAAGCTGCCCCGCACCCAGCAGCAGGACTGGCAATCTGCATCATTAATAAGCAAATCCATTTTCCTTCTTTGCAGGCAGAATCCTGGTTGTATTAGCTTGTTGGTTCGCTCTTGTGCATGTGTTCAGGAAAAGTGGTCTAAGAGTCATAGTTCTCTAGTCTCCTTTCTGGTGACTGGTTCTCGAAAAGGGGGTGACATGCTGAGGGGAAGTCGCTGGGGAGCGGCGAGCTGAGGGGGCTTCTGAGGTAAAATCTTTTCGCTCTTAAAAAGTAACAGTCGTCCCTCTTATCTGCGGGTTTGTTTTCTGTGGTTTCAGTTATCGCAGCCCAAAAGTACTAAATGGAAAATTCTAGAAGTAAACACTTTTTAAGGTTTAAATTGTGTGCCATGCTGAGGAACATGATGAAATCTCCAGCCTCCTTCCCTGCCCTGTCTCACCCCAGACAGAATTCATCCCTTTGTCCAGAGTAGCCACACTTTATTTTCATTTTTATTTTTTTTCTTTAGTGATTTTAGAGAGAAAAGAAGGGAGAGAGAGAGAGAGATAGAAACATCAATGAGAGAGAACATCAACTGGCCGCCTCCTGCATGCCCCCCACTGGGGATCGGGCCCACAACCTGGGCATGTGTCCTAAACCCTGACCGTGAATCAAATCGGTGACCTCTTGGTGCATGGGTTGACGCTCAAGCACTGAGCCACACCAGCCCGGCAGAGTAGCCACACTTTATACGCTGCCTGCCCATTAGTCACTTAGTAGCTTCTCTGTTATCAGGTGGACTGTGTGTTCCCGCAGTGATTGTGTTCAAGTCACCCTATGTTACTTAGTAACGGGCCCAAAGCAAGAGAGGGGCGATGCTGGCAGTGCGGGGGCCACAGAGAAGCCGGAAGGTGCTTGTTATGTACCGTCAGGATGTCACTGTGGTCAAGTCCCCATGCCTGTGCCAGTCACCTCACTTCCTCTTACATGCGGGAGTCGTGTCATCTCACATCCCAAGAGGAAAGGTGGGTACAGCACAGTGAGAGGCTGTGAGAGAGACCACGCTCCCCTCACTTGTATTGGAGTGTGCTGTCATAATTGCTCTGTTGTATTATTAGTTGTTCAACTCTCACTGTGTCTACTTCATTTTATTTAAAAAATTTTTTTCCTTTATTGATTTTAGAGAGAGAGGAAGGGAGAGGGAAAGAGAGATAGAAACATCGATGAGAGAGAACATCGACTGACCACCTCCTGCATGCCCCCCACTGGAGATCGGGCCCACAACCTGGGCATGTGCCCTGACCGGGAATTGAACTGGTGACCTCTTGGTGCATGGGTTGACGCTCAAGCACTGAGCCACACAGGCCGGACCTGTGTCTACTTTATAAACTAAATAGGGATGTATGATAGGAAAAAACATCGTGCATACAGTGTTTGGTATTATCCGAGGTTTCAGGCATCCACGGGGGTTTGGGAAGTATCCCCCATGGATAAGGGGGGGCTGCTATAATGCAGGGGAAAGAAACGTCCCTTTCGGCCTCCCACAGAAAGCGCGGCGGGCGCAGAGGCATGCACGGAGGTGGAGTCCCACGCTCTCCCACGCTGAGTCTAGAGCAGAATCATAACATTGTAATAGAGTCTATGTTTTGTTTTCCCCTCCATCCATGTGGGAGAAGAGGAGGTGGTAATAACATTCTTCTGGTTTAACAACAACAACAAAATTTCCACCAACATTTATCCTTTTCAGAATCTACATGCCAAGTGAAGCATTAGTCCCAGGGTAATGAATTATTAAGTAAGACAACACATCAGAATGACAGATTGATAAGGTTCGAGTTTCCTTTCACAAGATGTACCAATGATCTCTGAGGTCCCTGTGGCCTACAAAGAATATTTGTGCCCCTTGGGGTGCTCTAGTAAACGAAGACCAAAGAACAATATGCATAAGCCATGGACACAGACAACATTGTGGTAATGACCAGAGAGAAGGGGGGTGGGGACTGGGCGGAGGTGGGCTAAGGCGGGGAAATGGGAACATCTGTAATGGTGTCAACAATAAAGTTTTTTAAAAAAGCCCAGCTGGTGTGGCTCAGTGGTTGAGTGTTGACCCGTGCACCAAGAGGTCGCTAGTTCAATTCCCGGTCAGGGCACATGCCCAGGTTGTGGGCCTGATCCCCAGTGGCGGCATGCAGGAAGCGGCCAATGGATGTTCTCACATTGATATTTCTATCTCTCTCTCTCCCTTCTTCTCTCTCTAAAATCAATAAAGAAAAATATTTTTTTAAAAAAAGACGGAGGTTGTTCCAAGGTAGTTTTATTTACTTGCAGCAAGTAAAGGAGACAAGGGATTCACATCCAAAGCTCTGTCTCCAGAAGGGAGGCTTAGCCATTGCTTATACACACGATTTGGTTGAATACATGTTGATTTTTTCTTTGCAGTTAGCTACTTTTATCTGAGTTCCTGTCAGCTCATCCTGTTTGTTGCTGCATCTGCAAAATACTGTGCTAGATTTTAACATTTGGCAAGAAATAACATTTAGAACTGCCCAGACCTTGAGACCCTGGTCCTATCTAACATTTGCAAAAGGAGTTTTGTGATGTTGAGGAATCTCTAACCTTCTGCAGTTGCAAAGAAAGATACTTTTAAAATTTATCTTCTACAATTTCTTTCACCAGCACTTGGAAGAGTATTTAATCCTCAAAGCCAAGAGCAGGAATTCCACTAGTTGGTACCAAGAGAAAATCGGAGAGGCTAAACACTTAAAATATGGGGTGGGGAGTGGAATAGGGTTAGGGTTAGGAAGTGTAAGGTTGTAATGTTTTACATCTATGGAAAATGATGGCTGGGCCCTAGCTGGGCCCTGCTTGATTCAGTGGATAGAGTGTCGGCCCGAGAACCAAAGAGTCTCAGGTTCGATTCAGGTCAAGGGCATGTATATCGGTTGCAGTTCGGTCCCCGGCACAGGTTGGGGTTGTTCGGGAGGTAACCAGTCAATATTTCTCTCTCTCTCTCTCTCTCTCTCTCTCTCTCTCTCTCTCTCTCTCTCTCCTTCCCACTCTATCTGAAGATAAATGGAAAAATATCCTCAGATGAGGATTCAAAAAACAATGATGGCTGGAACTGTGGCAGCTATGCTAGCACCTTGAGGAAGGACATTCGCTACCAACATGCCAAGGACTCTTAGTCCACGAGGACAGCATTCACCTGATGCATTGACCACTGTAGAACCTTGATGAGACTAGTTGTTTTAGTAAATAATAAAGTCCCTTATTTTTATGATGTTTGGAATTTGTTCTTCCTTTACTTGCAGTCAACAACACTCTATGTGCTACACAGGCCTAGCAATGCGCACGGGATGGTGCTGATAATTAAACAGGATGGCCCATGGGCTCAGACCATTGCTCTCACCAGACATGGTCCTGCCTGTCAGCACGGAGGCACCCTCATCTTCTCCAGGCCCGGCCACTGTTGGCATCAAAGTGTTGATTATGGTCCCTGTATTCAATAGAAGAGAACAATGGCTCTGGCCGGTCTGGCTCAGCGGTAGAGCGTCCGCCCTAGGACCAATGAGTCACAGGTTTGATTCCGGACCAGGGCCGGGGACATGCGGGAGGCAACCAGTTGATGTGTCCCTCTCATGTCGGTGTTTCTCTCCCTCTAAAAAAAAGAAAAAGAAGAGAACAATTAATGTTTTTTCAACTCCAGCCACCAACCTATGAAATTTAATTAAGATCACTCCCAGAACATACATGTCATCAATCCTGATAATTGAACAATAAATGTATAAAAATATCAGAACTATGATTGCTTTTGGGGATGGAGTGGAGATGAGATTAACGTGGGAAGGGGTAAAAGAGAACTTTATAGGATGTTGGAAATGTTCTTTATATTAATAGGGGTTTGTATTCCAAAGTATATGCACCGGTCCAAAGTCAGCAAACATATTAAGATATGTGCATTACATTGTATGCAAATTGTACTCCGTAAAGAACTATAAACACCAAACTCTAACGACATAAATGCTGAAATGTTTTCAGGTTAAGAATACTGCTGTTCACTTTAAAGTACTTCACTTTAGCTTATTTCAAAACCCATCAAAGAAGTCATATGGATTGATGAATAAATGGAGGATGGACTGATAGGTATATGAAAAAGCAAATACAGAGAAACGTTAACAATGATAGAATCTAGACCACAGGCACGTGGGTATTGCAGTAAATTCACATAACTTTTCTGTGGGTTTGGAATTTTTCATAATTAAATGTTGGGAAAGAAATGAAAGCCTATGAGCCGTTAGGAACTTGGGTCCACTGCTCTGGAAGCAACACCAAAGAATGGTGGCTCAGACCAGGTCTCCTCGGTGACAGCCCAGCGGGCCCTTTTCTCTGCTGCCGGGCGGCCCACGGACACCACGCTCACACTTCAGGCGAAGGGAGAGGAGACGCAAGAGGAAGAAAGAGAGATCTGCCTGTGACTGAAAGTTCCAAAGATAACTAATGCAGAGACCAAAAATGATGACGATGATGATGATGATAATCGTGATAGCAACAGTAGCCAACATATCGCCCTGTTCTAAGGGCTTCACGTGAATGCATTTATTGAGTCTGAGCAACAACCTTCTGAGGGAGGTACTGTTGGGATTCTCGTTTATGGATGTGGAAACTGAGGCCAGGTAGGTTGGGGGGTCATCCGATACCAGAAGGGGCATGGTATGAATCAAGTCCTCATCGTCTGTGGCAGGAAGTCAACAGCTAATGGCTTTGTGGGTAACACTGATGAATCAAAAACCAGAGGTGTAAACATCTTGTCGAGGGATGTGGAAACTGACAGAGACGCAACAGCGGAAGCATGACTGTTGCTGTCTCTAAAGGAGGAAGTGGCGGAGGGGTGAGCTGGGTCTCCGGGCACCATGCGACAGCAGCCTGTCGTCTCTCAGGAAACGAGACCGGAAGTCCCCTCCTGAGATCCCCCAAGTCCGTACATCTCATCCATGTGAGTGTCACACCCTACTGATGTTATCTTGGAAGAAAAGGTAGCAAAACCACAACTGATGACCGAGGTTTGGAGGCCGCTGTTGGAGCCTGGACAGCCAGCATGGGGGCATGGGGCCAGGAGCAGTCCACGTGGGCACACCCACAGGGGCTGCACCCAGTGTCCTACCCGGCTCTCCA